TGTACATGGATATTTATGGTCCTGTCGGGTCCGCATCAGTCCGTCCGTCCGTCCGTCCTTTTCGGGCGGGGCGGGTCCGTCCGTCCGTCCGCTTTTGAGACCCTACCCCTTTTTTGGGCTCCCGACGCATCTTCGGGTTTGCGAGATCTTTCGTCAGCAGTGGAGCTGGCCACCCGCCTGGGCCTGCCAGTGGAGCCCTCTAAGGTGGAAGGCCCCTCTACGACTCTCACTTTTCTGGGCATAGAAATAGATACAGTATCCAGGGAGCTCCGCCTACCAAGAGACAAGCTACTCCGCCTCAAAGGAATCATAGAAGAGTGGAGGGTAAAGGCAACCAAGAAGTCGTCAGTGACAAAACATCAGCTCGATGTCTTGGTGGGCCTCCTCTCGGATGCAGCTCAGGTTGTTCCTGCAGGAAGACCGTTTATAAGGCAACTGATAGATGCCAAGTCGGAGCTCAAACGGGCTTCTCACTTTACGAGGCTTAGCCCAGGCTGTAAAGCCGACATATTTTGGTGGTCGGCCTTTATGGAGGAATGGAATGGCACTGGCCTATTCCCAACTAGAACCATAGGACCAGTGATCACAGCGGACGCTTCCGGCTCCTGGGGCTGTGGTGCATTCTTGGAGGGGCCTTGCTTTTGGTTCCAGGTTCAGTGGCCATCAGAGTGGAGCCAAGTGAATATTGCCGCTAAGGAGCTTTTTCCCTTAGTGGTAGCTATAGCCATCTGGGGGCCCCAGTGCAAGGACTCCCAAATATGCCTCAACTCGGACAACCAAGCAGTGGTGAGCGCTCTCGCCACTCGCTCAGCAAAGGACCCTTTTCTGTCCCACCTCCTACGCTCTCTCTTCTTCTTCCTAGCTCATTACAATATAAGCTACAGAGCTCAGCATATAGCAGGCAAACGCAATCGAGCAGCGGATGCCCTCTCCAGAAACAAACTTAATGAGTTTCTCTCTGTTTTCCCCCAGGCTCCCAAATCCCCCTCTCCAATCCCAGGCTCGCTGCTGTCAATGCTCCTCGACATCAAGCTACAGTGGACCTCCACACACTGGAAGGAGCTGTTCAGGGCTTCTTTAGAAAGGGTCTAGCTGACAGCTCGGCCTCTTCATATGCCACGGCTCAGAGACGCTTTTTATCTTTCTGTGCAGAATGTAACATCACCCCACTGCCACTTTCTGAGCACACTCTATGTCTGTTTGCTGCCTTTCTTGCAAATCAGGGGCTGCAGGCTAGGACCATCCAAGCCTACCTCTCAGCCCTAAGGCATTTCCAGATCTCAGCTGGATTGCCAGCCCCTCCCCTCAGTTCTTGGCCCTGGCTCCACTACGTTACAAGGGGCATCAGGAGATCCCAAGGCTCTGCACACAGGGTCAGACTCCCTATAACAGCCTCTATCATGAGAGACTTAATGATCAGATGGGCCCAGCCGGGGGGAGGCGGTCTCAAGAACCAGCTCTTCCAGGCCGTGGCTTGCACGGCCTTCTTTATTTCTTTCGCATGGGGGAGC